TTTATATTTTTAGTAGAGACGGGGTTTCACCGTGTTGACCAGGATGGTCTCGATCTCTTGACCTCGTGATCCACCCGCCTCGGCCTCCCAAAGTGCTGGGATTAAAGGCTTGAGCCACCGCGCCCGGCCAAAGCTCCTCTTGTTATAAGGACGGTTGTGATTACACTGGGCCCATGCAGAGAATCAAGGATAATCTTTCCATCTCAAAATCCTTCATCACATCTGCCAAGTCCCTTTTGCCACATAAAGTAAAATTCACAGGTTTAGGGGATTAGAATGTAGATATTTTGGGGGGCCATTAATCAGCCTCTGCACTGGGCAAACTGTTACATCCTGGGAATATAAATCCTCAAAATAAACACACTTCTTTCTGGAGTGTTCATGTTCTTATTAAATATTTTTGCTATAGAAGTTACATTTTAATGGCTGGGTTTGGTGGCTCATGCCTGTAATCCCAGCACTTTGAGAGGCCGGGCAGGTGAAATCACCTGAGGTCAAGAGTTTGAGAACAGCCTGACCAATATAGTGAAACCCTGTTTCTACTAAAAATACAAAAATTGTCAGGCGTGGTGGTGTACACCTGCAATCCCAGCTACTAGGGAGGCTGAGGCAGGAGAATCACTTGAGCCTGGGAGGTGGAGGTTGCAGTGAGCCAAGATCAAACCACTGCACTCCAGCCTGGGTGACTCCATCTCAAAAAAAAAGTTACATTTTAATACTGAAAAAAAAATAGGTATATATCAGAGTATATGCAAAATTTGCATGACTTTTTTAAAAAGTCCAATTTTATCATAGATAATTTCAACAATTGCAAAAGCAGTGAGAAAGCATAATTAATTCTCATGTGACCATCACTCGACTTCAACAATTTTTTTTTTTTTTTAGATGTGTAGTCTCTGTCGCCAGGCTGGAGTGCAGTGGTGCCATCTCGGCTCACCACAACCTCCGCCTCCCAGGTTCAAGCAATTCTCATGTCTCAGCATCCCGAGTAGGTGGGATTACAGGCGCCCGCCACCACATCCAGCTAATTTTTTTGTGGTTTTTTACTAGAGATTGGGTTTCACCATGTTGGCCAGAATGATCTCTAAACAGTTTTTATCAAATCATGGCCAAGGCCAATTTAGCTTCATCTGTACCCCTACCTACTCCTCCAACCCTGGGTTACCATGAAGTGAATTCAAAATATGTCATTTCATCTGCGAACATTTCTGTACGTATCTCTGCAGGAGGGCTTTTTTTAAAAAAACAAAACCATAATGCTCTCATCCCACCTGAACATTGTTTAACTGAATAAACCATCTAGTCAATGTTCACATTTTCTTTGTCTCATAATTTTTTTTATAGTTAATTTGTTCAAATTGGGAGCAAGTAAGGGACATGTGTTGCAATTGCTTGATGTGAGATGTATCTCTGAAGTCTTGCTAAATTTACAGAGGTCCTCTCCTTCCTACTCTTTCTATTTTTTTTAAGGGTGGTTTTATGTTCATAGCAAAATTGAGAAAAAGGAACAGATTTTCTCTATACCTCTGGCCCACACTCACATATAGACTCCCCATTATCCATATGCTGCACCAAAGTGGCACATTTGTTAAAACTGATGACCCAACAATGACCATCATTATTACCCAGAGTCCATAGTTTACATGAGGGTTCACTGTTGTACATTCTATGGGTTTGGGAAAATGTATAATAACATGTATCCACCATCATCGTATCATACGAAGTAGTTCCACTGCCCTGAAAGTCTTTTATGCTACAACTATTTATCCCTGTGTAGCGCCTTCCAACAGTGAAGAACAAGAAGCTTAAAAAAGTTGTTACGCATTTCTGGGAGGCTGAGGTGGGTGAATCACAAGGTCAGGAGTTTGAGACCAGCCTGGCCAACGTGGTGAAACCCCGTCTCTACTAAAAATACATAAATTAGCAGGGCATGGTGGTACATGCCTGTAGTCTCAGCTACTCGGGAGGTTGAGGCAAGAGAATCACTTGAACCCAAGAGGCAGAGGTTGCAGTGAGCCAAGATTGCACCATTGCACTCCAGCCTGGGTGACAGAGCAAGATGTCGTCTCAAAAAATAAATAAATAAATAAAAGTTATTATGCATTTCTGAGGCTGGCACGATGGCTCAAGGCTGTAATCCCAGCACTTTGGGAGGCTGAGGTGGGAGGATCACTTGAGGCCAGAAGTTCGAGACCAGCCTGGCCAACAGGGTGAAACCTTGTCTCTACTAAAATAATACAAAAATTAGTCAAGAATGGTGGCGTATGCCTGTAGTCCCAGTTACTCAGAAGGCTGAGGCAGGAGAATTGCTTGAACCCAAGAGTCGAAGGCTGCAGTGAGCCAAGATTGTGCCACTGCACTCTAGACTGGGTGATGGAGTGAGATTCTATCATAAAAAAAATCATTACACATTTCTGAATTTAAATCTATGTACATTTTGTACATTTCTTGCCCTGGAACAAGCTTGTCATGGGGCACATGTGGCCCAGGATGGCGTGAGTGTGGCTCAACACAAACTCGTAAACTTTCTTAAAACATTATAAGATTCGTTTGCATTGTTTTTAGCTCATCAGCTATTGTTAGTATTTGTGTATTCTATGTGTGGCCCACAACAATTATTCTTCTTCCAATGGGGCCCAGGGAAGCCAAAAGATTGGAAAGCAATGGCAGAAATTTATTTATTTTGGTACTTAGGATATATCTCATGAGAGATGTATAGTCAAGTTCGTGTTTTGAAATTACTCAAAATAGTTCTTCTCCATGCAGCTATGCCATCCACTGGATATATTCAATAGCTAAATATTTAGATTCATTTTTTAAAAAAACATTTTGTTTTATAAT